TGTTCCGACCAAGCGTTTTTTAGAAACAGAACAGACAGAAGAATAATAAGTATTTGAAAAATGGTCATATATGTGGCCGGTTTTTTTGCATTCGCACATGTATTATGGATTTTAGAATAAATCTCCTTAAGCGAACAATAATTTGTTATAAAGAGAAAGGTATGCTCTTTCATCTCCAGTCAAATTTAATCGTTTTTCTTCAGATAAATTAAAGACGTTGTTAAAAGCCCGCAATTTTCCTATGAGATTACCTTGGAAAAAGTTATTATACGCAGAAGTTCGTCAGCTAAATATCCAATAAAAACACTTTTTAAAGAGGTGACCTATTATGGAAAGTTTTTGTATTGATCTTGCGAATAGCAATATGCGTGGAATCTAGTAGACATGTTGTATGCTCGAAAATGCGGTCTGCTGTTTTGGAGCATTTCCACATTGGACCAACATGGCCATCTGCACAGGAAATAATATCCAAAGGCTCGTTTTTTCGGTTAACGCCGTTTAGTTATATCTTATTTTAAAGGGTTTCATGTAAGCGTCGAAGAGACGGGCAATTAGTCAACTTATCAATGAATACACCGAAAACTAGCGAAATAAAGAGAGACTTTATTCCACGATATTCAATAACAACGTATCCACTCTACCACATATACAAAATATTTTGACTAAAGGCAAGTTATTTTTGTATAAAAAAGTGGTTGCTTTAGGTTTTATACTTAACAAACTATTTAAATTAATTGCTCTAATTTTTAGCCTTTTTTGACGTTTCCACAAGCTGGGAATTATAGAGAGAACTTTATTTTTCTTAACAAACACTTAGTATTTTTACAGTTCTTTTGAGTACTTAATATGCCTAATGCTGCTCATTATTATTCATAAGTTTTCGTATATGCTTTTCCGTTATTATGGGAGAAATAAGCAAACATTTACAAATTTAGGAAAGTTGCTTGCAGGACTTTCAGAACTGTAGGTTTTCTTTATTGGGTAATTAGGATACGCAAGGTAATATTTTTAATAAATGCTACATGCATTTTAATTTTATTGCATTTGAATGTGCTATTTATGTATAACTGTAGCTTTTCCTAATCTGTATTATTGTTTAACTTAATGCGGTAAAACCCAATTATCAATTTGCAGATTTGAAAGCAGGCAAAAACAGCCGGATTTATTGATATCAACAAATTTCGTGACAGCTTATCAGCTGCTACTTGTCGC